ATCTAAATCGTTGATGAAGATACTGAATAGAAACGGACCCAGAACTGATCCATGCGGGACCCCACTCATTATGCCCTTCCAGCATGACTGTGAACCACTGATAACAACTGGTTGGAAAACCATTCCCATAGAGTAATGCACCCACCTTATAGTAGCTCCATCTAGGTTGCATTTCCCTAGTTTGTTTATGAGACGGTCATGTGGGACAGTATCAAAAGCTTTACTAAAGTCAAGATATACCATGTCTACTGCTTCCCCCTCCTCCCCCATCCACAAGGCAGTCAGGTTGGTTTGACACGATTTGTTCTTGACAAATCCATGCTGACTGTTACTTATCACCTTATTATCTTCTAGATGTTTGCAAGTTGATTGCTTAACTATTTGCTCCATTATCTTCCCGGATACAGAAATAAAGCTGACTGGTCTGTAATTCCCCGGGTTGTCCTTATGTTCCCTTTTTATAGATTGGCACTACATTTGCCGTTTTCCAGTCTTCTGGAATCTCTCCCGTCTTCTGTGACTTTTCAAAGATAAGTATTATCTAGACCATCCCTGAGAGGTGTTTGTCTAACCTGCTCTTAAAAATCTCCAATGATGGAGATTCCACTTGTGTAACATCACTTCAAAAGAATAAAAGTAATCTTACTCTAACTCTCCCTGTGTGATGTGGTTGCTAAAAGAGCAGATGTGATCCTTGGATCTCTAGGTAGGAATATATCAAGTTGAAATAGGGAGGCAATATTACCATGTTATATGGCATGACTGAGACCATTACAGGCAGGGTGGATTGATTTAAATCACATTGATTTTAAATCACCAATTTTAATCATGATTTTTAATTAGAAAGCAAGAAACCTTGTTTTAATTCATTGATTTAAATCTTGTTTTGCATTGGTACTACTTTAAACTTTTTTTAGGAAAACAACTTCCTCTTTATCCTGGCCACTCAGGATGAGTATGCAATGGATGTAGCTTAATTAGGTGGCAGCTGTATTAATTTATCTGGGATTACCCAGCAATAAATCATACTGCTTTGGAGGATAGGGTCGTAATTCAAAATGATCTGGACAAATTGGAGAAATGGTCTGAGGTAAACAGGATGAAGTTTAATAAAGACAAATGCAAAGCGCTCCACTTAGGAAGGAACAATCAGTTTCACACATACAGAATGGGAAGAGACTGTCTAGGAAGGAGTATGGCAGAAAGGGATCTAGGGGTTATAGTGGACCACAAGCTAAATATGAGTCAACAGTGTGATGCTGTTGCAAAAAAAGCAAACATGATTCTGGGATGCATTAACAGGTTTGTTGTGAGAAAGACCCGAGAAGTCATTCTTCCGCTCTACTCTGCTCTGGTTAGGCATCAGCTGGAGTATTGTGTCCAGTTCTGGGCACCGCATTTCAAGAAAGATGTGGAGAAATTGGAGAGGGTCCAGAGAAGAGCAGCAAGAATGATTAAAGGTCTAGAGAACATGACCTATGAAGGAAGGCTGAAAGAATCGGGTTTGTTTAGTTTGGAAAAAAGAAGACTGAGAGGGGACATGATAGCAGTTTTCAGATGTCTAAAAGGATGTCATAAGGAGGAGGGAGAAAACTTGTTCATCTAAGGATAGAACAAGAAGCAATGGGCTTAAACTGCAGCAAGGGTGGTTTAGATTGGACATTAGGAAAAAGTTCCTAACTGTCAGGGTGGTTAAACACTGGAATAAATTGCCTAGGGAGGTTGTGGAATCTCCATCTCTGGAGATATTTAAGAGTAGGTTAGTTAAATGTCTATCAGGGATGGTCTAGACAGTATTTGGTCCTGCCATGAGGGCAGGGGACTGAACTCGACCTCTCGAAGTCCCTTCCAGTCCTAGAATCTATGAATACAGTTCAGGTCTTCATTCTTTCTTCCATTTCCATCTATTTGGGACTCCCCTTTCCCAACCTGGTCCCAGGCCATTGCTGGGACCCTGTTGCCTGCTCCTCATATGAAAGTTAAGGGAGGCTGGGAGCCCCAAGCTTCTTTACAGGGGACGTTCCCTTAAATCCCCTTCCAATACTGGTTTATCAGCTAATTGGACACTGGACAATTGCTCTTTAATTTAGTAGACCAGGTATAATATAATGGTTGAAACTGAAGCTAGACAACTTCAGACTAGAAATAAGGTGCAAATTTTTAAGTGAGCATAATTTACTGTTAGAACAATTTACCTAGGGATGTGATAGATTCTCCATCTTTTGACAGGAATAAATGTCTTTCTAAAATATATGCTCTTTCTCAAACAGATGTTATTGGGTTTGATACAGGAATCACATAAAAAAATTCTATGGTGTTTTTTATGCCGGAGAGCAGACTAGATAATCATAATGTTCCCTCTGGCTTTAATCTAGTAATAATATTGACTCTCTTCCCGTTCTGTGACCAATGCTAAACCCATCTGTTCATGGTAATGAGCATATAGCTAGTTTTCAAAGCAAAAATGTTCAAATTCAAAAATGAAGGCCAGTTAATTTTAAGGACTAACTCATGTATCACCTAATTTGTCAATATAGAATCTGCTGAAAAATTGATAAGGGTGGCCACCATTCTGTCTGTCTCTGAGAAATAAAATATGTAATATTGAATCTCCCTCACATGGGATTTATATGTGAAAGAATTAGAGGCTGGTTCAGACTTCATTTCACTTGGGAGTTGCCTTTGTCTAGTGGGACTAGCAGGACACCTTAAAGACCTGTCTACATTGCAGATATAAGGTTATAACATGACTGACTCTGCATTTGATTTTTGCCCCTATTTGACACACTATTTCTAATACTGTGAGTGTATCATGTATCATCCCTACTTACAGTCAGGGCTGGAATGGGATTATCAGGCTGCAACTTGGTTCTAACCTAGTTTTTCTGTTGCATAGATGCATCAGCCTAACCATCTGTACCTCTCTTAGCCAGTCACCTTATTGCCCAAGATTTTGTGTAGGAAGATATCTCAAAGTTTATTTGCTTCATATGCGAAACAATCTTCTGTCTTGCTGCACCCTGAGGAAACAAGGAATAGCTGAGTTCCCCAAACATGCACAGACATGAACACATTGGGTATATCTACACTACCCGCTGGATCGGTGGGCAGCGATCGATCCCAGCGTATGTCGATTTATCAATTCCCCGAGCGCTCTCCTGTCGACTCCTGTACTCCAGCTCGGCGAGAGGTGCAGGCGGAGTCGACGGGGGAGCGGCAGCAGTCGACTCACCGCAGTGAAGACACCATAGTAAGTCGATCTAAGTTCATCGACTTCAGCTACGTTATTCACGTAGCTAAAGTTCCGTAACTTAGATTTCCCCCCCCTTCCCCAGTGTAGATCAGGCCATTGTATAGCACATGGGCAGGATGAGGAATATGAATGAAACACAGTTTTGATAGGAAAATTGCCACTGCCCAGGTACATTGAATAGGATCCAGTTTAAAACTGCCTTCTGCATTTTTAAATATTTCCACAGTTTTGCTTCACATACAGGATATGTCTAGGCTAGAGATTTTACTGCCAGTTAACTCAAGTTGCTTAACACCTTTGTAAATGCTAATTAAGACCCACTGAATTCTAGGGTAAACCACAATGTTCCGTTTCCTGGAACAAATGTTTGTGGTGTTAAGTCATTTAATTGCCAGTTAACTTGAGTACCAGCCTCAGCAAGAATTCTAGTCTAGAAATAGCCACAAGGTGTCTCTCTAGTCTTACCTCTTTTCACACAATCCTGCCACAGGTACTAGGCTTCCTTCTTCAGTTCTGTGGTCTGGAACAGCATCCCTATATTTCTTCATCTCATCAACATTTTATTTCTTAAAGCACATAATCTCTTCTTGTTTGTGGCTCTTAGGGTATGTCTACACTGCAGTTAGACACCTGCAGCTTGCCTGTGCCAGTTGACTCGAGCTGCAGGGCTGTTTCATTGTAGTGTAGACTTCCATGTTCAGGTTGGAGCCCAGGACTCTCCCACTTGTGCTCCAGCCTGAACCTGGAAGTCTACACTGCAATGAAACAGCCTCACAGCGCAACCCCCCGGAGCTGCAGGTTTTTAATTGCAGTGTAGACATACCTTAAGTGTCTGGGTATTGGCTTTATAACTGAGTGTTTTACTTTTATTTACCATACTGTCCATAGTTCACTTCTTGGACAATGTATGATCTGTGTTTCTGTTTGTATTGAATTTTAATCAAACATTTTGAGATGTATTTTGTATGCAGGATGCTATACAGACTCCTGTGGCTGTTCTGATGTAGATTTTTTTCCACTTTGTATTTTTATTTTGTTTGTCTCCTCCTACCCCTATGGCTTTTTCATTTCTCTGCCTGCCCTGCTGATGCCTCATTCTGGATACCGTGCCTCCAGCCAACCAATGAGAGGAGATACTATGCTTGGCTTCATGCAGCTCTTCATTTCACTGTTAGAGGGTGCTGTTATCAAGAAAGGAAATGACTATTCTAGTGGCTAGAGTAAGGGACTTGAAGTTGGGCATTCTGGGTTATATATCATGGTGTGTCATTGACTGTCTGACTTGGGGCAATTTACAGCCTCTCTGTGTGCTTCTCTAAGTCTCACTTTTTACAAACAGTGATTATGCATTTCTAAGTATTCATGGAAAGGTACTCTGTGTGCAAGTTATCTTCATCCAGGTGGACTGAAAACGGAAGGGCACAGCCAATAAGAGATCCAATATCTGGGTGGTGTTTCAGGGGGCATAAGCCATTCTCCTGTACAAGATTTCATCATACTGTGGTATTGGTCTTGGCTAATAATCAGTTTGGACTCTTTTGCCCCAAAGTTAACAATGGTGATTGATTGTGGGTTTTCCCCGTACTCTCTGGGAAATTAAAATGGCTGGTTGTCCAAAACATAACTTTAGCAGAGTTAACCTATTGCTTAATTGGCTGATTATAAAAGTACTATCTACTGACTGAATTAGAAAGAAGGGATGAAATTGGGGGTCATGAATGAACCAACAAGTAATTTTTGTCTTTAGGTTAGTTTATCCTACACCTATGAGACTAAAGATGCCCTATGTTTAGTATTAACCATTATGAATGGAGGAGATTTAAAGTTTCACATTTACAACATGGGAAATCCTGGCTTTGATGAAGAAAGGGCTGTTTTCTATGCTGCAGAGCTCTGCTGCGGTTTGGAGGACTTACACAGAGAGAGAATTGTTTACAGGTAAGTGTTAACTGCAAGAATGTATGCCTTGAAACTTGTCAACTCTGCATGTTTGCATATAGGATTAAATTGACTTTTCTTGCTTCAAAGCTGTTAGGTTATTTTGTATACCTGTTTCTGTGTGCTAATGATCTATTAGTTCCATTGAATTGTGCGGTGGTTTTTTTTTTCTGACTGTAGATTGGAAATGCTGTTTCCTAGTCCCTCTTCCGTTAAAATTCTTATCCAAAAAGTCTGTATACACTTAAAATAAGCATCGATCCATGGTGGACTATAAAATAACAGAAGAATTCTCCCTGGAAAATGATGAGTGTCAGGGATATAGCAATATTCAGATGTGGAGAGAGGAGATCCCTGCACGTACAAATTCAGTGGTGGTGAATGCTGTACAACGAGGGAATGCCCCTTGCCATGGCACCCATCTAAAATATATGTCTCATAATCCACGGCAGCCTCCCTAGCCCAGGCTCTGGCTCCCACAAGACTTTTTTTTATTAAAGTAACTGAACCATCAAGATAAAAGATAAAAGGCATCTTTTAAAAAGTGGAAGTCAAATCCTAGTGAGGTAAATAGAAAGGCGCATAAACACTGCCAAATTAAATGTAAAAATATAATAAGAAAAGTCAAAAAGGAGTTTGAAGAACAGCTAGCCAAAAACTCAAAAGGTAATAACAAAATGTTTTTTAAGTACATCAGAAGCAGGAAGCCTGCTAAACAACCAGTGGGGCCCTTGGACGATCGAGATACAAAAGGAGCACTTAAAGACGATAAAGTGATTGCAGGGAGACTAAATGAATTCTTTGCTTCAGTCTTCACGGCTGAGGATGTTAGGGAGATTCCCAAACCTGAGCTGTCCTTTGTAGGTGACGAATCGGAGGAATTGTCACTGATTGAAGTGTCATTAGAGGAGGTTTTGGAATTAATTGATAAACTTAACAGTAACAAGTCACCGGGACCAAATGGCATTCACCCAAGAGTTCTGAAAGAACTCAAATGTGAAATTGCGGAACTATTAACTATGGTTTGTAACCTGTCCTTTTAAATCAGCTTCTGTACCCAATGACTGGAAGATAGCTAATGTAACGCCAATATTTAAAAAGGGCTCTAGAGGTGATCCTGGCAATTACAGACCGGTAAGTCTAACGTCAGTACTGAGCAAATTAGTTGAAACAATAGTAAAGAATAAAATTGTCAGACATGTAGAAGAACATAAATTGTTGGGCAAAAGTCAACATGGTTTCTGTAAAGGGAAAACGTGTCTTACTAATCTATTAGAGTTCTTTGAAGGCGTCAACAAACATGTGGACAAGGGGGATCCAGTGGACATAGGGTACTTAGATTTTCAGAAAGCCTTTGACAAGGTCCCTCACAAAAGGCTCTTACGTAAATTAAGTTGTCATGGGATAAGAGGGAAGATACTTTTATGGATTGAGAACTGGTTAAAAGACAGGGAACAAAGGGTAGGAATAAATGGTAAATTTTCAGAATGGAGAGGGGTAACTAGTGGTGTTCCCTAAGGGTCAGTTCTAGGACCAATCCTATTGAACTTATTCATAAATGATCTGGAGAAAGGGGTAAACAGTGAGGTGGCAAAGTTTGCAGACGATACTAAACTGCTCAAGATAGTTAAGACCAAAGCACACTGTAAAGAACTTCAAAAAGATCTCACAAAACTAAGTGATTGGGCAACAAAATGGCAAATGAAATGTAATGTGGATAAATGTGTAAAGTAATGCACACTGGAAAAAATAATCCCAACTATACATACAATATGATGGGGGCTAATTTAGCTACAACTAATCAGGAAAGAGATCTTTGAGTCATCGTGGATAGTTCTCTGAAGACGTCCACGCAGTGTGCAGCGGCAGTCAAAAAAGCAAACAGGTTGTTAGGAATCATTAAAAAAGGGATAGAGAATAAGACGGAAAATATCTTATTGCCCTTATATAAATCCGTGGTATGCCCACATCTTGAATACTGTGTACAGATGTGATCTCCTCATCTCAAAAAAGATATACTGGCATTAGAAAAGGTTCAGAGAAGGGCAACTAAAATGAGTAGGGGTTTGGAACGGGTCCCATATGAGGAGAGATTAAAGGGGCTAGGACTTTTCAGCTTGGAAAAGAGGAGACTAAGGAAGGATATGATAGAGGTATATAAAATCATGAGTGGTGTGGAGAAAGTGAATAAGGAAAAGTTATTTACTTGTTCCCATAATATAAGAACTAGGGCCCACCAAATGAAATTAATGGGCAGCAGGTTTAAAACAAATAAAAGGAAGTTCTTCTTCACACAGCGCACAGTCAACCTGTGGAACTCCTTGTCTGAGGAAGTTGTGAAGGCTAGGACTATAACAGGGTTTAAAAGAGAACTAGATAAATTCATGGAGGTTAAGTCCATTAATGGCTATTAGCCAGGATGGGTAAGGAATGGTGTCCCTAGCCTCTGTTTGTCAGAGGGTGGAGATGGTGGCAGGAGAGAAATCACTTGATCATTACCTGTTAGGTTCACTCCCTCTGGGGCACCTGGCATTGGCCGCTGTCGGCAGACAGGATACTGAGCTGGCTGTACCTTTAGTTTGACCCAGTATGGCCATTCTTATGCTCTCTACCTATATTGGTATCAGATTCAAGTTCAAAAAATTTAATGTAGCTGAAAACCCACTGTTTCATTGAAAATCAGCTACATTATGTTTTTCCTGAAGAGTATCTGCTTTCCAAGGAAAAGTCAACTTTTCTGTCAAAACACTGAACACCCGGGTCTTGCCTAAAATCTTTTTCACATCTTTTGATGTGTATGGGTTTAGATTTTCCCGCATCCCCCAAAGTCAACATTTTCCAGGGAAATTTTGTTTTGGATTCATCAAAGTCTCCTGCAGGGAAGGGGATCAGTTTCTGACAATTTCTACTGTAAAACTTCTTAATCTATAGTTCATCAGGTTATTGTTTAAATATGTATTATAAACAATAAAGTTGCAAAACTTGAGATTCTTATAGTCTTTTCACACTTAAGTCATGGTTTTCTACGGAAAGCAATTTTGTAGTTTCTGCAAAACCCACACTTGATAGTGGCTATAATTTTCCCTTTTAGATAACTGGCTTTTTGTTTTGTTTGCTTTGTAGAGACTTGAAGCCTGAAAATATTCTCCTTGATGACTGTGGTAAATAAACATAAACTTCTTGGCACGTACACTAAAAATGTATAAATATATTCTGAGTACAGTGCAAAGATATTTAAGGTGGTTAAGCAATTTCTCTACAATACCAGAGACATAATTAATAAAATATTAGCATGCAAGTGTGCTTATATGAGTGGAAAAAAGATTGGCTGTTCTTGCTTTACCGAAAGTAATAGAACACACTGCAATTTCATTTCTTGATTCTTTCAGACAGCTTTTACCACTGGATCTAATGTGGCTAATTGAGGTCTTCACGGGGTTGACTGGAAGACAATTTTACCTGAATTCTGAAAACAAGAATTCATACTGGCGTGCACAGTAGTACAGAATTCCCCCAGGAGTAAAAGACTTGGTCTGAGACAATTACAAAATGGGGCATCATCGTCTAGGATCTTCCACTTGTGTGCTAATTTATATTTGATACTCTTCATTTTTATCAGTTGCTTCTAAATGCTCTATGCAAAATTATGTAATATTCATACTACAGTTAAGCTTAGAGACCCCCACTGAGATTGCCCTACTATTCTAGGCACTATACAAACATGTATGAAGACACTGCCCCTGTCCTAAAAGCTATCAAAATGTGTTTTCTTTATCTTATTACTAAAGCTGATTGGAAATTTTCCATTTAAATGATTTTTCCAATGGAAAATACAGTTTCTACCGAACTGATTTTTTTTGTGTGGGGAAAATTTAGATTTTTTGCCTGATTATTTTGATTTTTTTCTCGCAGCACAAAAATCAATTAGTTTGTTAGGAATAGATCCAACCCAAATCAAAATATTTTGGTTTGTTGAACTGAACCAAAATATTTAATTTTGAGTCAGTTCAACATTAAATTTCAACTGCCTGCAGTGACACAGTATCTCATGAATGTTGTAGTTTGGGTAATTTGTGTTGCTCCCATTTTCCCCTGTGGAATGGACTCCCTGGGTGGACTCTCTCCCCTGATGCCCTGTGGTCTCCCCTCTCACCAAGCAACATGGTGCCTTATGGGAGTTAAATGAGTGTAGTGTATTATAGTAGACATAATCTGATTAGAGAGCCTGGCCTATGCAGAGGAATAAGGGCATGACACATCTGAATTACAACTCCTTGAGGCATTGCAGAACCATTGGCTGATGCAGTTTAATGTTGAACTGATTTGAACATATTTAATTTAATTAAATTTAATTTTACACTTTCAAAAATTTTTGATTTGGAACTTGTTCTTTGAAACATTTTGATTCAGTATGTGAAACAAATGTTGAAATATCAGAATTTCCTGTGGGATGGATATTCTACTTTTCACTCTGTTCTAGTTATTACAATGTCTTTGAGAGGAAACTGATAATTTTGCATAATCTTTCTCACATAAAGAATGAAATGGAGCAGGCTCCAATGTTCTACTAAGAAGTCAAGAAGCTTAATACAGTATAATAAAGACTTAAACATGATACTATATTGCCATTCCTGTGGCTGCTGAATAAACATAGGAGTTCAAATGGAAACTCAGAAAGCCTATTCAGCCTACAGTCATGTTTTCATGTGAAGTATTCTGTACCATGCTCAGCCACAAATTTCTTGTGTGAATTTGAGCATATCAGTTCTGTGCCTCATTTTTTCCAATTTGTAAAATGGAAGGATAAGACGACACAAAGATGTTTTTTGATTAAATTGATTAAAGAGCTTATGGCTATGTCTCTCAGGGGTGTGGAATTTACTTCAGGATAACTAAGTCTGTCAGGGGTGTGAAAAATCCATACCCCTCAGAGATGTAGACATACTAACCTTATAGACCAGCGCTAGGTAGACCGAAGAATTCTTCGGTTGAACTAAATACCACCTCTTGGGGAGATATACTACCTATGCCTGTGGGAGAAGCCCTTCTGTCTGTGTAGGTAATGTCTTAGGCCTAATAAGTGATTTGGGATGGAAGTGGGATGGAGGGTGAAGGATACTATGGAAATCCCATATATTTGAAAATGCTAATACTTCATTCCTTGTTGAATTTGTGTAATTAATTTCAATGTAAACAGGACACATCAGGATTTCAGATCTTGGATTAGCTGTGCAGATCCCAGAAGGAGAAACAGTCCGAGGGCGGGTTGGAACAGTTGGATACATGGGTATGTAAAATGCCTGTAGCTAGCTAAACCATACTAGTGAGGTCTATTACACTTGCTTTTAAGTATAGGTGACTCTAGAATACAGAATCATACTGGGTTTGATTTGGTTTTGGGACATTATTAGTGTGAAGAAAAGATACAGTATGTGAATAGGTGTGTCAGGCTGTCTGTAATGGCTCACAACCGTGAGTTCCAGCCTCAGGGCAGACTGTCAAAAAGCAGGGTAGAAACCCCAATCTGATTGTATATTATATCATTAGATTTCACCAACCCAGTAACTAGTGTGAACTACTAACATACTAACCAGTCTTACTATGCAGTCACAGACAGTCCCCTTGGGCATTCCAGTCTATCTTGTCATCCAGGCAAGCTGGATTATGTGATAGATGGTCATTTTATACCAAAAATCACAAAATTCAGCTTACTCCCGGTCCCAAAGGACTAGTCTCTTACCTCAGGTCAGTAGTCTTTGGGCTGAGATCTGAGTACAATGCCTGTAGTTAATCTTGTAATAAACTAACTAAAGATTTATTAACTAAGAAAATAAATAAGAGTTGTTTTTTTTTAACAAGGTTAAAAAACATGTACACAAATGAGTTAGTCTTAGGGTTAAAAAGGTACTATAAGCTTCTATAATAAGCAGCTCTATATGTCCTTTCGGGCTGGCCTATGCTAGGCAGCATGGGGATCTCTTGCTTATGTTTAGGAATATTTGTCCCTGAGAGTCCAGAAACCATACAAAATCCAGTTTCTCCTTGTCAGGGATTTGTATCCTCCTCCTCCCCCCCCCCCCCCCCCCCCCAGAATCCAAGCTGATAGGATAAGTGCTCCTGCACATAACCTCTTCATGGGTGGGTGGGGAGAACAATTGACAAAGTCTTTGTTCCGCAGTGGCCCATTTGGATTCAGTAGTCCTTCCAGATGGCCAGGAAATAACACCTCTTGGGGTAAATTAATATTTCGCACATGGTAATGCTTGTCTCCTGATTATGGGGAATTTACAGTCTTAACAAACATTTTTATAGTTACAGAGAAAATGTTTAAACATTACCTTATAACATGGGATACAGATATAAGTAGGATTAATACATGCAGCATCCCACAAGCATTCCATAAAGTCTAAACACATTGGTATAACTCTAATATTTATTTTGATAATGCTAACAAACAAGTAAGCAAGAATGGTTTCCAGCGATGCATTTGAAAGTGTTCAATGAGGCCTAGGCACCTTGGCATGAGCTGGCACCTGGTCTGCCAGCTTCACAAGGTCATGTTTGATAAAATTACAAAATTAAATTTTAGATGTAGCCATCTCAGAAAGTTAATTATTCTGGGTAAAATTTTCAAAAGCACCTAAATCTCATTGACAGTGTTTGACTCTAAGCTCCTAAGTGCACAAGTCACTTTTGAAAATGTGGCTTGGACTCCTAAGTCACTTAGGTGCTTAGCTTGTGAAAATTTTACCTTCATTTAAAAAATGGCTTAAGGATCATATTGATCTAGAAAAGAAGCAATTAAGGACCTACAGTTAGCTGAGCAAGAGTCCTTAATATGGGAGTGAGGACTTCCTGTAATTCTGGACATCCACTATTACTGTACAGACTGTTTTTAGGAGAGTGCAATGTTAGCTTAGTGGATTTGTTTTACTGATCAAATAATGGAAAAAAACTAAAACACATTAATCTTTCTATTTTTTATTTTTGGTAGCTCCAGAAATCCTCAACAATGAAAGCTATACATTCAGCCCTGACTGGTGGGGTCTTGGCTGCCTAATTTATGAAATGATTCAGGGACAGTCACCATTCAGGAAGCGTAAGGAAAAGGTCAAACTGAATGAGATAGACCGAAGAGTGAAGGAAGACCAGGAAGTGTACTCGGACAAATTCTCAGAGGAGGCAAAATCCATTTGCAGGATGGTGGGTGAAGAGACGTAGAGGTTTGGAAATTAAATTTCTAACACTCTTTAAAGAGCTGAAATTTTAAATTTTAGTGTCTTTATTTTGTTGGAAATTTTTCATAATTCAGGTGACATGGCTTAGGTGACCTGCATAGGTCGTTTTCATCTCTTTTTGTGATTCAACTATTGATATGATAGAAGTCCATAAACAGTTCCATGCTGTTGTTGTCAGACTTAGGAACTGAGGACTTCTCTTCATGTTTGTTGCGTTGTAACTTACAAAATGGTGTACTTTATAGATGTGGTAGTCCATAGCCTCAAGCTAAACCACAGTTTGAATGTAGCATAAGCAAGGGCAGAGTTAAGCCATCTCAACAGAAAAAACCTGGGATTTAATATGGGGAAGATGTGGTAGAAAAGCAGCATATTAGTTCTCTTGTGTAAAGAAAAAGACCATGTAATAGGACAGCTTGGGTTTTTTACCTTTATTGACTGAAGTAAAATCCAGTTAAATTTGGTAGATAACATGCATTTACACAGTTGAAGAGTTTTTTAGAAAAATAATATTTATAATATATATGTTTGTTATGGTTGATTTACAAAAATATCTTGTCTAGCGTTACTAACATACTGAAACAATTTTAGATCTGCATTTGAGGAAAGCAAGATATGTGGCAAAGCATATATGATCACCAAGTATATAAACATAAGTACATAGAGATAACTTAGCAGCTCATTAAACTATGGGTAGAACCTATAATAATTAAAAAGCAGAATGTTTGTAATTTAAACTGGTCTAACGAAAATACTTTAATGCTCTTAAGCCACATATTTCAGATTTCCAGTTCTTTAAAAGTTAACACTTTGGTACAGCATTCAATTGCAGATTTCAGTAAGCAAAGGAGCCAAAAAAATCCTATATATATTTTTCTATTGAAAAATACTGTAAAGATAATTTTTAAAAGGGCATGTATAAAAGACTAATCCAGTGATCTATTTACTATTTCTGTGCAGTTACTTGCCAAAGATCCAAAGGAACGATTGGGGTGCACTGGAGATGGAGCTGCTGCTGTAAAGCAGCATCCCATTTTCAAGAATATTAACTTCAAGAGACTGGATGCAAACATGTTAGAACCTCCGTTTTTACCAGATGTAAGTAAATGAGACAGATGTATCTAGTACTTAAATAGACACAATATACTTCTGTGCTACTTAAATCAATTTGCACTGGAAAATAAGAAGGGTGCATGCAGAAGCTAGTTATTATCTGCAAAGGGGGTTGAATAGGGAGGTGGCAATATTTGTAGATGATTGACCTGAATTTTGTGCAAAGACTTAGGAGAGCCCTATCTCCAGAGAGTCCTGACAAAATTATTTAAATGGGCAACACAATGCAAATGTAATTCAGTGTTGTCTAATGATGATATTTAGCTGTTTATATGGCACTTCCTTTTGTAAAGGGTTTTGAGACCCATGTTCAAGTACAGCTCCAAGGGGCTGTGAAGTTGGTCCCCAGCTCTTTAAATCACTACTTCCCCTGCCCTGACAAATGAAGGTTGGGCACTGAGAAACTTCCCTGGGATTGGGAGTCAGTGGGCAGAGCAGAAGTCAACTGCCACAGCCTCAGGATGTGAGAGGGACCAAGTTGCTATAGTATTTCCTTTCTCTGTCAGGGCTCCCCCTGGGTCCTAGTGACCATTAATTTTGCTGCTCTTCGTTGCATGCAACCCACCGGGTGTCATTTCATGACCCCCTACAGCTCTCACACCACTTGTTAAGCAGTACTAGTCTAGAGGGTGTAGTAGTATCCTTTTGGTGTTCAGGTAAATAAATAGTGAATAGGCAACAATGTGAACCTAAGATTTTTTTTTTTTTTAATTGCCCAGTTTTCTCTGAAAATAAAAATTCTGTCAAAGAAGCAATCATTGTTTCATATTGCAGCCACGTGCAGTGTATTGTAAGGATGTCTTGGATATAGAGCAATTCTCCACAGTAAAAGGAGTGAACCTGGATACTACAGATGATGACTTCTATTCCAAATTTGTTACAGGTTGCGTCTCAATCCCTTGGCAAAATGAGGTACTGTACTTTGAACAAGTCCTGTTTGTGTTAGTGTAACAATAATGAACATTAAAAAATACAAAACTGTTTAACTTTCCTTAACCAGGCTTTATGATGAAACTTCCTTTTTACTTCAGGCATTTGCTCCAGAATGTTCCCAACTAACAGCCCCATTGACGATTTGACAGGAGCCCAAGGACCACACTTAACTTGCATAAAATTGAACAGATGGAAGCTGAATCACCCTATGCTTTAGTGAATGCTGCCCAGAAAACAATAGCATCCGCTACAATGAGCACACTTCTTGTTTTGATCCTGTCTCTGAAAGATTTCTAATATTATCATTCAAAGCAGTGGGACCTGAATGAGTGCCATTCAAAGTACAAAAAAATAAATTTACTCAACGTTAGCTGTTATTACAGGGGTCTCAAATAGATCATACCTGTGTATTCATGTTGAGAGCAGCCAGGAGCCACAGTGTAGAACTCTGTGGACTATCCTTGCTCTAGGTTTTCAGAACAAGCAGTTATTACTTCAATCAAACATTACTAGATATTGCTTCCTAAATAAGTATCCCAAACTGACTAATGAATGAATTCATTTAGGACTATGTATAGAGTTAATTCCCCCTACCAATGTGGCTGGCACACTGGATTGATTGTAATTAATGAGATTGCATATCCAGCTTCACCTACTCCAGGTTAGGCTGCCCTGAAACAGAAGATGGGAGAAAGAGATATCCATGTTTATGTATTGGCATAGATTAAATCCAGTTCAAGAAGTTGTGCACGTTGCAGTTTGGCAATGGAAATTCAGCAGCAAAGTGTGTGTGTGTGTGTGTGTGTGTGTGTGTGTGTGTGTGTGTGTGTG